TTAAATTTTAGGGAAGACTTAAAACCTTTTTCTGTTTCTATACTAAAGGACATCAGTCTTACCAGGTGCCCCATGTCTGCCTGAACTGTCAGGTTATGTGTTCTGCTGCTCCTTTCCAAGGGACCTTGCTCTGGAGGGGTGCCTGGACAATGGTGCTATCGACAGGGCAAAACTGCTGATGTGCAGATGTGGATGGGACCAGAAGCGGAACTGGCTGTCAGCAGTCAAAGCAGCAGGACTTTTTACACATGATCATGATGTCAGGCACCTTCCGTTGGCTCCTGCCTGCTGGCATATGTACTTGTCTGTCCTGCATCTTGGAAGTCGCTTAATTTGCCTCAAGGTGGGAGGTATAAGCTGCTTCAGGACCAAGGTCCTGTCCAAGCTGTTCCCCCTTGCTAGTAGAAAAACAGTTGGTATGAATCGTGTGGGAATGGGTGCACAAGTCTCATGGTTAATACCAGGGATGCAATGATTTTCGTGCCTGTCCTAACTCTGAGGACTTCAAAGTAAATGTTTTAACAGGTATTGCAGTGCTCAGCATCACAATGGTTATGAATGTAAATTTCCATCTTTGCAGGGAAGTGAGGGAAGAACTTTCTTCTTTTATTTTTGGTGAGAAAAATAAACGGAAAGGGCAATTTTGACAGTCTATAGCATTCAGGAATTGCAAACCAGGATTTAGCAGCATGACAAATGAAAACCGCGATAAGTTGTAAACGAGCTTGAGTACATCTCCGGGTCAAGTGCAAACTGTTCTTACAAGGAAGGTGAGGTTCCATGTGACAAAAAAAATAAAGCAGAATTTTTGAGGTGTACAAGTGATAATGATTAATTATTAGAGAATCATGTAGGTTGAAGAACGCAAAAATAAACGTCTGAATTTCAACCCAGTTCCTTTTTCCTGATTGTTTTTTGGGATCTCCATGCGAGTGGTCTGTTCTAGTGTCGAGCTGAATGTGTTCCACATGTGCTTCATTTAGCATCGTGGGAACTTTGATTCTTTTGAATAACTGACCTTATCTGATAATGCTAATATGAAATAACCAGCAGTATGTTAAGATGATGATCTGAAATATCCAGCAGGTTTTTACTCTACTGGCACAAAACCCAGCTCTCTAAAGTTGAAGCTCTGCTCATGTTATACGTTGTTTTAGTATATTTTCTACAGATTTAAATAATTTTTTAAGAAATAAATGTGAAAGATTTATTTTAAGCTTGTTCATAAACCTGTTGTGGATTGAAAATCAACCAACAGATTTTCACTTGTGGAGCAAAATCTGATGCTAGAGGCTTTGGAGGCAGTTTGGTGCTGCAGGTACCTCATCTGATGCATCTCTGGGTGGTCCTGTCTTGTGCCCTGATTTCCCGCTGCAGCTCCCTTGGCAGAGCTAACGCTTGTGTTATTTCTTTCATGCTGCTTATCTCATGGGAAACTAACCCACTCGGGAAGGTTTTTATCAGTTTGCTAACTCACCCTGTGGCTACACCTTGGTAGCGCTCTCACAGGTAGAGCGGAGGGAAAGCAGGATTGCTTCTCCCAGCGGGTGCTGGGAATGGAGCATCAACCTCAGCACTGCAGGACTGAGGCAGTGCTCTCACTTCAAACCAGTCGTGTTTCCAGGTGCCTTTGAAGATACGTTCCTGGGACTGCTGTTCTCCAGCTAGTTTTCCACCTGTGCAGGAGCCGAACGATCTGCATAAATTAATGCTTTCAGTAAAATCTTTACACGAAAGCATGAATTCTGCACTACAGTAAGGGAGGGGGAAAGCTTTTGTGTCTGCTCTGGAGGAATCCAGGCACTGGCATGCATCCTGCTCACCGATGTTATTTGGCTCCTGAAGGAAGCCAGGAGGGAGAAGTGGGCTCCTCTTCTGCCGTGTCAACTTTTGGCTTCTCGGTGCCTGATTCTCAAGTAGCTTCAGCGTTGCGAAACAGGCATGGTTCTGGGCAAGTTTATGGCTGCCCACAGATTTTGAATAGAACAGAGGAAGTGAGTAGCACACCCGTTATTTAAAGCAATTCACGAGTGGCACTAGAATCCTACAGACGTTGGCATGTATTCTGTATGTATATTTTTTTAGAAGCTGATTATCCACCACGGGGGGCAGTCATAGCAGACTTGTATTAATAGTTTATCCCCTCCCCGCCTCCCCTCACTGATCATCTTTCCGCTCCCTGCTAGTGAGTAACTTTAAGTAGTAGCAACTAGAAGATACAAAATATGTACGCAGTTACATTGCTGTCACTTATTAGAAACTGTATTTTATTTCTTGTCTGTGTTGGAAGCTTTTAACAGAAAGCGTATGTAACCAGTTTTGTTGTCTAATGTTAAATTGTAATTTAACAGCGATGATGTTACATCGAGATAATTTAAGCTGGGATTTTGTGTTTGCTTTTCTGAGTTTATTTTTATACAGTGGAATTAAAGTATTTCCATCAGGGTATATACTCTATGAAATACGTTTTATATAAACTAAAGACTTGGCAAGCTTACATCTTCAAACTGGAAATCATGAACTAAACTCTTGAGATACAAAAGAATCAAAGGATCAATCTCGATAATTCAGCAATACTGAATCTGAATTTACTAGATTGCTCGAGTTGCCTTATGCTGCTCCCTTGGTGGCTATGCAAAGCAGACCAGTCTCTTGCGGCTGCTCACATTTGTCACGGAGGCGTAACGGTAAATCCGTAATCATTCACTGTCTCCGTTCTTCATTAGACTTGGGCAATACAAACCACTGCCATCTTTAATGGGAGAAGGGCTAATGTGGGGAGTTTTGTAATGCAGGTGAGACTTGGTACCATATCTCTCGCCAGAGTTTGGACATCAAGGACAACATTTTCAAACAGGGAGTTTTGTTATTTAAAGGAGAGCAGTAATGAGATGATCATGTTATTGGCTGTCTTGGAATTGGTGGAAGGGTCGTTAACGCAGCTTCTCACCTTAGTGATGTTGGTGGTATCGCTTCCCATGAGAGAGCCTGGCCCACATCTTTGCAAGTAGGCTAATTTGTCGGGAGTGGTTTAGTAGTTTATTTTAATGTAAAGGCTGACGACATGGAGGAGTTTGCAATGGGGCTCTAAGTGCACCACAATACAACTCCCTAGTATCTCCTTTTACCAAGAGATTCAGAGGTGGTTTGTGTGTAGTGTTTTTTGGTTTTACTTGTGTTTTTCTACCACAATACCTTAATTTTATTATTTTTTTTCTTTATTAATAAAATGGCTTTGCTGATCTATATACCTGATGTCATGGACTTCTAGAAAGTTTGCTATTTTCAGTTGATACTAAGTTTAAGGATTTAATACTTAACTCCTTTTTTTTTAAAGAAAATGATAATAATTAATAAGAAACTATATTGTATAAACTCTGAGTACATTAACTGATGTTAATACTATCCTATCTAGTCAATTGTCTTAATTTTTTTTTCCCTCTAAAATTGATGGTACTGTTTAAGAGCCACAGCGATGGACCAAGATCTTGGTGTCATAGTTTTTTGCATGCACAGACCAAAAAGGCAGTTTCTGTTCTCAAAATTTGTTATGCTGTTGTAGTCTGTCTTTCACCTGTTATTTTTGTGGGGTTTGTGTGTGGTGGGTGGGGTGAGTCCAGCAGAACAGCAAAGCAGTTAACATCGTAGGCAATGTCTTAGCAAGCTTGCAGTCTAACTTTAGCCTATGGTGGCAGCATTTTTCTCTTTCCAAACTTGTAGCCTTAAGGCAACTTGATAGATTTTTACCAGGGTCTCTTGCCTCTCTTCAAGGGCAGAGGCTTACATGCGGTGCTGCTGCAGGTGCTCACGTGGCTGTCCTGCCTTGTGCAGCTCGGTGAGTTGTATCTGCTCTGAGAGCGAGGGGAAATTACTTCTCTGGAAAGGGCTGAGCAAATGCAAGCAAGATTGTCCCTCCTCTTAAAACTCATTCCTTGGGTGGTAAGTGTGCCAAGAGCCCTAGTTTCTTTTGGATGCCGGCAGGGGTTTCTTGTCTGGTTTTGCTGTTGGCCATCATTCTTGGTTTGTAGAAGGAGCAAGTATTTCAGTGAGGGGGGCTTGTAAACCTTACCTCTGGCAGCTGAGACAATTACGTGAGCTCTTCCGCGGAATGCCAACCAAAATAAGCTGGGGTGGTTTAAGCAGCCTAAATAATCACTCTTTGTATTGGTTGATCCTGAGTAAATAATTTAGAAAGTACCTACGAGCAGCTCAGCTGGCAGCCTTCTGGCAGAGAGCAGGGACAAGCAGCTGAGGGTGCTGAGCTCTTCCACCACACAGATGTATCTAGAGGACATCCAAACCCAGGGCAGAGGTTCACAGGCTGCCTGACAGGCAGAAACGTGAACCTCTGTCCTGCAAACAACCCTGTGAATACACGTGAAGCCAGAGAATCCCCAGGTCATTGTCCTCATAGGGAATGAATGTATTTTCTCGTTAGGCTGTAGTGATCTGCTGGTGTGGAGTGAAAGAAGTGGTTGAACGTAGGCATGGTTTATGGGGGTGCAGGGGGTGGCTGGAGTGCTATCCCTGTTCTGCCATTGCTGCCAGGCTGGGGGGCACCGTGGGACGTGGTGCGGGGCTGCTGTGCAGCAGCATCCTGTCTTCTGCACGTGTGTACAGAAAAGTCTGTGCTCCCATTACTACTTTAGATTGTTTACTCATTAGTGAAATTAATGGTAGGAGGGAGTTGGGCTGGAAAATGCGAATATTCAAGAGATGAGGTTGCATGGCAACACTTTACAGTCTTGAACGTGGGGTTAAGAATCAATAATGGTGGAAAAAGAAAATGGAGGAGGGAAAAAATGAGTGGGTTGGAGGAAAATCGCTATCTTTGTATTGACTTCATTGTTTCAGTGCCATCCCAGATGTGTCTAACAAGTCTGACATTGTTTGAGATTTTCATTACTGAGGGCCTTTCATAAGGCCCTCCGCTGTAATGCTTGTGTGTGTCACTGGAGTCGCCTGACGTGGCTTTGCAGAGATGCAGGTTATGCAAAACGCTCTGAAGGGGATGGTGGGAAGCCTGGATCTTGCTCCCAGTTTTAGAGGGTTTCTTGCCCCCAGGAACTGCTTTCTAACTTCTTGTCTTTCTGGCTTGCTTCACCAAAATGTCCCTAGAGGCTTCCTGATGACTTGTTTGTGTCGTCCCTGACACATTAATATTCTTTTAATTATGGAGCATGTGTCTTGCTGATGGTTGGCGTACATAGATATGCATCTATTAAAAGCAAAATAATTTGACGCATTTTAAGGAGGAATATCAAAAGATAGAAGAAGTAAGACTGCGGTAACCTCTCAAATCTTCAGGTAACTCCTTTGTTTTGGTTACGAAGTTTGAATGTCCCATCGTGTTTAATTTATTTTCTGTTACTGTTGGTTAACTTGCGGTTTCCTATGTGATTTTGTTGTTAGTATTGTTTCATTGTTTTAACTGGATGAAAAACTTCAGGTTAGCAAGGGCTTGTAAATGAAGAAAATGTTCGTTCATTGTATTGTAGAAGTGACCGTCACTTACTGTTGCTAACTGAATGTGAGAATATGAGTTGCCAAGTGTAATGTTTCGATTTTTTTTTTTTTCTGAGAGGAAACGGAGAGGAAGCAAAAGCCGCCGGTGTTGTTGCTGGCGTTTCCTTACTCTGCTTTGCATTAGAATGAATAAAAAAAAAAAAAGACTGCCATTGCAAATGACAATACTGCTAATTGCTCTTTGCATTTTGGGGTAGCTTGCTGCTTTTCTCCTTTTCAATTGGATGTGTTATCTCTTCAGGATTAAAAAGAAAAGCAGTGTCTCCAGCTCCTGCTCTTCAGTTGTTCATGCTGGCCAGTAGGACGATTTCCAAGTGGCTATGGAACCTTTTGCTGTAACGGTGCCATTTCAACTCCCTTGTGACTGGTGCTCTTTTTGCAAGCCCAGCCTGATAGCTTCTTGCTGTAATACCAACTGTGGGGTTAATTTATGAAGAGTGTGTTTAGCTTGGTATCACGATGCAAGGTGTTACTTCTGTTAAGACTTCTGTACCTTCTGTGAGTTATATGCATTTAGTGATTTACATAAAATGGTGGCTTTACTTCTGAGATACACAGAGACACTGACTAGTTTAACAGTAAAAATTAGCTCTGGCTCTTTTTTTTCCATGCTATTGTTGAAATTGATTTTTATTTGAAGCTGTGGTCTTGCAGAATTGTCTTTGAAGTACTCTGTATACGTGGAAAAAAGAGTGGGATGCCACAGATTTGTTTTGAGTGATGTGAACTTTCGCTCCAGGCAAGAAGTGGGGCTATCCAATTTTCCATTCACAGTAGAGACAGAGCTCAAAAAGCTGCAGAAGCCAATAGTTAACTCTGTTGGAGATGTTGTACCCTGCAGTTCTTTAAAATAACATCTACAGTGAATAATAGTTTGCAAACGTGTGTGACAATTTTTTTTCTCTCCCTGAACCTTGTTCTAGATGTCAAAATTAACCTGGACTACTTGGGAATGGCGAAACATAGCCCTGGGATCCTGCCATGAACAGTAAGAGAGTTGAGATGCTTTGTGTATGCAAGTAATTATTTTTTTTAATGGCTAAACCCCAGTGAAACTGTTCCTGTTCAATTAACATAACTAGACAACACATTGTGTAGTTCAATGTGGATGTGCTGCCAGCTCTTTATGCGGTTAAGAGGCGGTACAGTAAGTCAGAGGGGTGGCTCGGGAGGGAAGCACTCTTTGGAAAACAGTTCTGGGGAAGCCTGCAGCCAGTATGACACCGGAGGTGGGAAGACAACTAGGGGTGGTGCGTTATGGAATTATTGAGGTAGTAGCTGAAGAACACTTTCCTGTAATGTGTAATTATATTGTGAGACTCCACTGTTATCTAGTGTATAATTATATTAAGACTCCATTGTCACGGGTTATCTTGAGCACAAATAAGTTTGAAATGTGATTAGACAAATTAGTGGAAGAAAAAAAAAAAAAAAGTGCATTGCAGAGTGGTAAAGACTGCATTCTGGATGCAGTTTGTGGGAAGTCCCTGAAACGCTGGCTGAGGGAACCTGCCGGAGTACAGTGTCCTGTTACTGCCATCACTCCTGAATTGGCTGCTCTGAGACAGGTAGCTTGGCTAAACAGGTCTTCAGCCTGACCTTTCCTATCTGGCGCGTGTGTGGTGTTTTCCTTATATGAAACTTGCCATTTACTGGGTGTTGATTAAATGGTTTATGCATCCAAGGAAGCAGGCACCTTTAAAGATATTCTTATGTTGATCAAAATGCTCAGATGTTTTTGTGTTGTTGGTAGCCTGAAACTTTCTAATTTGAAGGATATATAGATAAATATTCATGTATGTACGTGCTCTGTATTCTTTATATAGCTTTTTCCAGATGTTGCAGTAGGCATCCTTAAATTGATGCACTGAAAATTATTCTGATGAATTTTCCCAGTACAAAATAGATGACTTATGAGAGACTGTGTGGGTGAGTAGCATGCTTGTAAAGTGTAAATTTTCAGCAGACGCTATTGATGCTATTTGTCAGCTTTCACTGGGACAGAAATTAGAAGGCTTTTGTATTGTTAAATATCATGATTTGGATATAGTCTATTGGAAATGAACAGCTCTTGGAAACTCCTGGATCTAAATTCTTTACAGCAGTTGAAATGCTTCACGTGCAAATGTTCAAATGAAAAATATTTAATTTTCTTTTGTAGAACTCTCTGACCATGTCATGTTTAATTCTTCCATGGGAGCAGTGTTTCACCCAGGGTTTTCAAAAGCTGGTTGGTATGCTTGAAATGTTAGGCGCTGTTAATATGTTAAACATCTCAGAACTCTCCTTTGATGAAAATACTGTAATTATTAAATTGTTGTGGACAAATTATGTAGCCTTAGGTCATTTATTAGAATAATTGATAAAGGCACAGGAAGCTGTTTAGTTCTTTGTACAAAATAGTGTATGTAACAGAAGGAGATAGTTACGGCTGATTGCTTTCTGCTTTTTGAGAAGCTTGTTTAGTTTAGTAGAAACAGATAAATGTATATTTTTGTAGATTATTAAATAGTTTTGAAATCTTACTAGAATGCAGCTAAATCTTCAGCTTGCTGCTTCTGATCATGGATAGAATGAGCTAACAATTTAAGCTGTGCTGTTTGGAGATAAAACATTCATGCATTTTAAACTGTCCTATTTAGCAAGCTTCACAGTTTGAAAGGTAAGGCAGAGAACTTTGCTGGTTTGCTTTGACAAAACCTTATGATTTCTTGTGGAGTTGAGAGCAAATGTATATAATGTCAGAGAATAATCACTCATGCAGTGTAGTTAAGAGGAATTTTAAGGATGGAAATGATTCTTGATACAAGTTGGGGCATCTAGAATGATTTTGGGTTTTTTGTTCCCTGCCAATCTGTTATCTCAAAGTTGTGTGGCTTCCCTGGCTCTTCTTTTGAGGCGATTATTGGAGCCCAGAGAGCTGGACTGTTGTACTGCTGTTCAAAGTCCTCATGTTTGGGAGGTTCTTAATGTCCCTTTCTAGGGCAAGGAGAATTAGAAATCCAAATCTCATCTTGGCTATTAATCCTATAGTGTTAGAAAATGTCCACATGCTATTAAGTAATAAGCTAAATTACCAACATGTGAAACACATCTTATTCAACTCTCATGTCATCTGTTTGGCTTATGATAAGCCAGTGAGTGGTGTGTGCTGTGTTGTGATATGGATAGCCTTAGGAACTAGTGTTTCCTTAATTATCAGTTCAGTGGTTGTGTCTTTTTAAAGCATGTTCAAAATAGCTGTCAGAAAACTAAGGAAAACTAATGCCTTTAAGTTAACCTGCAACATGGTGTTCCCTTAGCTTCTACCTTCACCCATTAATAACACTCCAAAATTAGTGAATTTGTTGAAAGTGATTGATATTTGAAATCATGCTGACTAACCTGATCTAGAAGCATTTTTCCCAGGCCTTTATTTGCATATTTTTTTATTTATTTATTTTTTTTTTATTATTATTCTAAGGATGTGGTTTAGATGAAGCCTGCAGGTAAAGGATGTGGCTGACGAAAGTAACAGCAGATGAGAAGGCTCAGAGTTTAGTGGAAAGTGATTTCAAGGTGGCATGTCACATGGATACTTGAATGGTAGCTTAAGGAAATACCATGGATTTAATTTCTCGGTGAAGCGGGTGGCTCTGATACTCTGGTCTGTGATACAGGAGAGGAGTACCAAAAGGTTTTACAGCATGAAATGGGGAAGTATAGGCTTTAATGTTCTGAGCCTTTTTTGCTTTTATTGTCAGATAATGTATGCTGGCTATCCACAAGTCACTTCTGAAGACTGGAAGATTTCAGTCTACTGAAGTGTACGTTATTTTACTAGGAAGTTTCGCAGGATTTCACCTCCTATTGTTATCACTTGTTTTCAGTCTGATGTGAACTGGCCCTTTCATTAACCCTCCCAGAGTGGTATTTAGCTGATTCCTCTAAAGCTGAGGCATACATTCCCCAGAGTGGAACTCCTGACAAATGAAAGCAATCCATGTAGGATGAGTTATAACTTGGTACTTCCAGAGCTCTTGAGAGCGAGCGATTAAAAGCCTTCCTCCTGTCATAACTGCAGAGGCAGAAGCCCACATTGCCTTTAATAGAGGAATGGCTTGGAAGATGCTTGCTTTATAATCTGGACATGGACAAACAGGAGTATGGGCATCGTCACTGGTAGGGACCTGCTCTGGATGGTGGGTGTAGGGATAGCAGTAGGAGGACAACGGCATTTTAGGCAGCTGCTACTGCCAGACCATCTGGGTGCTGTGTACAGCTCTGAAGGATGCTTGGAGCTGCAGCTGTGGCTGAAGAGGTGACGCAAATGTTTGGGCCAAGGGCGGGGGAGACGGAGCAGTGCTGCTATCCAAGTGACAAAGCTGATGTGAACCCAGGAGAGTTACTAACCTGTCCGGTCTGCGTGGCTCTGGCAGGGAGCTGGCTTGGCTCACTTGGGCTTTCCTGTGTCTTGGGACATGGGTCCCCGCTGCCTCCTTGTCCCCTCCTTGTGCTGGCACCTTAAACTCACTGTCACTGTGGTGTGTTATCTTCAGCCTCCTCCTTGTCCCCCTTTGTTTGGTTCCAGGCTGGGAGTGCTGTGTGTGGAGCTGGTCTTGGTAGGATTCAACCTAATGGAAGAAAAGTCCATTCGTTTCCTGGGGTTGGACTATGCTATGCTGTAATTGATGAAGCCCCTGACTTGGAGAGCATAATATAGCGGCATCCAATATAGTATAGCATTTTCCTGCTGCTTATGGTGCCGTTTTAAACTGCAGGTGTTTTACTTGGATGTGATTTATAAGCAGTGTATAATAGTTCAGTCTTCTTCAGAGAACTGTTTTCTCTTGCTGTATGAGTGAAATACTATACTGAGAGGCTTGGGTTTTTTTATAAATAAAATGTTACTGAAGACTTCTAAGCTTGTGTGAACATGCTGAAGCTTCGTTTATTTTGTGTTCCTAAAGTAGGTCGAATAAAATTTTTATTTAACATATTTCAAAAGCACATTAAGAAAGGATATTATGTAATTGCAGTTAATGAGCATGGTGGTATTGCTTTTGGTGGGTAAAACTTCTTCACTTAACACAGTTACTAAATTTCCCTTAGGATAAGATCTGCTCTGTTACCTAGAGTTGTATTTCAGCAGTTTATTGGCTTCCTTTATGACACTGAGTTTTTTAAAATGCAGTACCTTGGCTGACCGGAGCAAGTCGGCAGCTTCAGTTGTATCTTCTGTGGTTTAAGATACAGGGTTTCTTTTGTGCACGGACTTCTATTGAAAAATGTTTAAATAATTACATAATTCTAGTTACTAGGTGGAAAATAGTAACGGTTCTGCTTGTTAATTATTGATTATCAGGTGATATTTGATACATGTTAATGCAGCTCTCGGGGAATGTGACTCTGGTGCCTGTTATAAAAACTGGGAGGCTATGCTAATGCCCAGAGACGTGTATGAAGTTCACGTTGAAAACTGCCTACATCAGGCTGTTCTGCATCCTACTTTTCAGATAGAAATGCCTTTTTAGGCATATACTTCTCTGTATTTAGAGAGAGACTCTTTTGTGGTTACAACTTATTTAGAGATTAAAGCAGTTCTTTTAAGGGTATCGCTCAATGCCAGAGTTAATCAGGTCCTGCTCAAAGGGACGGTGCTGCTTGTTTTGGGGGGTGCCAGGGCTGTGCGGGTGCCGCCAGGCTTGTCTGGTGGGAGGCACGTAGCTGTGCTGGCACTGCGGGCCCTGCGGCAGCCGTCTGCTCTCGAATCCTGCAGCTGCTTCGTTCGATAGGTTCCGCACAAGGTAGGCAAGTGGTAGGTCAAACGAAGTGTAATGTGGAACTGTGTCCTTCGTTTATGTTCCCAGGCTAGAATTTAGCCTCCTTCTCCCTGTGGATTTAATCGACAGTCTGTTTTTCAGCAGTTCTGTTTTGTTACGGTTTTAATTTTCACTGGCTACTGTGCTAGAGAAAGCACTGCGTTAATGTTGTAGGTCAGGCTAAGTCACAGCATCTTCCAGCTTTTTGGTTTCTGAGCATCATTTGAAAAAAACTTGCCTCCTGTAGAAATGATGTGTTTGCCGAGGTCTGTCCTCTGACCTGACAAGTTTATTTTTTGTGTTCACTGTATGTTCATATGTTTGCCACTAAGGATGCATGGGCTTGTTCATTTAATGGCTTCCTAGAATGTGCCCCACACACTTTATCGTACACTTTGACATGTCTTGTGTCACTAATTTGCTGTTTTTTCTGAAGACTTGACTGTAACTGATACAAGTAACCTACATAAGCAGTGTGCATAGTCTATTAACTCTGGAAAAATCCAGAGCGTTCTGATAAAAGATGAAATACAGGCGTAAAAATAAACCAGTTACTTTCACAGGGTGTCTGCTATGTGAGTTGTGTGTACTGGCATATGACCAACACATGTAATGTTTGTATTTTATGGAATTGGAATTAGGAATAGTTTAACTTCTCTGTGAAATGGTAATCAATTTTACACAAATCTTAACCACACCCCTTTAAGTTGTCTTCCTAAAGTAATGCTGAAGGTCGTTAAAACAAATATAATGGGTTATAAAGGAAATGAATCATTATTCATAAATATGTGTACTTGCTTTTGCATATCTGAAATAATGACTGCAAAATATAACAGCAACAACAAGAATAAACACCACAACCCAAAGAGAGCCGAGGAACTTGCACACCAGTGAGAAATTCAGCCCCCAGGTCCTGGCAGGGGCAGGCAAGTTAGTGCTGGTGATGAGATTTGTCCTTTCTGTGGACGTAATCAGTGGCTGTACAGTTGTAAGTGGGAGGTGTGAATTTCTCATATTTGTTTGTTGGGCATGTAGAGTCAATGGTGAGGATGGAAAAGTTGATATCATCTTTATCATTACAGTTGAAAGTTAGCTAAAACTTTAATGAGGATGAAAAATTTTATTTTTAACATGGAATTTGAACTGTCTGAATTTCTGTGGTAATGAGACTTAGTAAGTATTCCTCATGCACCTACTGAATTTTGTACTTTGTTGGAAGAAAACTCATCAGTTGCCAGTTTTAGATCTTGTGTGCATCAGCCTGCCCATCCTGCACTATTAATTTTTATAATCTTTAGTTCTCTTCTATATACAGGAAAAACAACCCAAACCTGTAGCATTTCTCATGATTGTCAACTGCAAACCAGCCATGCAGCTCCAGAGGGAGCTTCTTTTGCCCCATCAGCAGTGGTTTCTAAAAAAATGCCCCAAATTAAAAAAAAAAAAAAAGTTCAACTTTCACCTTGCAGTATAATTGGCTCAGCTTTCTTTCATGAGCAGATAACATAAGCTGGTCTGCTAAAACATCATCCCAGAGAAACCTTCAGGGAGGAGTTAAGGATAGAAGGGATTTCATTTTTGAAGTCACTGTATTAGCTTTTTATTTGAAACTAGGCAACAGGGTTAAAGTTACTGAAAGTAGTACTGACTGGATGTAAATAGTTTGGTCAGTCTAATGTGTTAAATAGTCTCTGGAAGAAGGTGAAACTGATCTTTTAAGGAATTCAGGTCTAATTTTCTCAGGAACAGTACAAATTTACTGTGTGCTACTAATACCTATTCCTCCAAAAACTTGAACAATATTGTAGCTAAGTTGACTTGGAGTGACCTGCTTAGGGAAATTATATAAAATGGAAGGATTAAAAAAAATTGCTTTTATTTGTAGTCAGTAATAGAAAGCTTAGGTTTTCTTCCCAATGTTTAAGCAAGCTGGGTGAGCAGTATAGTCGGTACGTACAGATAAGCAGCCCTGTGGAAGACCACATCAAACGCACGTGGTTTTGACCTCACTGAGCAGGTGTATGGAAAGAAGATGCTTAACTGTATACAGAAACCCACCTGTAGTGTATGCTTGCCCAAGAGGAGGCCAGCTTAATTTATTTCTCAGAATTAATTTAATTGCAACCTTAGAGTTTTGCAAAATGGATTGCCACCTGTCTTTTGATCCCTTCATACTGTTATGTAGTGTGTTTGCCTCATCAGAGGAGCTTGTGCAACGCCCACAGGATGGTGGAAAAAGGAGTGAGACTGCAGTATCCATCCTAATTTCATTAGCCACACTGCACATCACACAGGAATTTGCAAATAACTATTTTTGAGTATGATGGTAGGAAAGCAGTTCAGATGTACATGGTACTTTTTGAGCATGTTTTGTGGTGGAGGATAGATAAAACATACCATATTCACTCAGCAGATGTCTTTAATAGAGGAAAACCTGAAGTTTATTAGAAACAAGAGGGTGTGTCCCAAGGTGCAGCAATACCAGGAGTTAAGAGCTACCTTATTGGACCAGCTGCTCTAGCAGCAGTGGAAGGGAGTGGGCAAGTTAGATGCTGTTAAGCAATTCTGTTTGATGCCGTCTCCATTATGGCACATTTAGAGTATTTTCAAAGCACACACTGAATTTATAATTAATGCTTACAAATATTGTGTGTGATTTCCTTCCACTAAATGTTTAAACCTGCTTTAACAAAATACAATTTCAGACAGGCTCTTAAACTAGCGTTGCTTGTGACCTACTCTCTGAAGTCAGGATTTTACTTGTAATGGTACAGAGCAATTGGAGGGGAGAGGATGATCTGCAGAAGTTTGTTTTCTGTTTATATATAACTGACCTGTCATTTCAAATCTCTTATGTTGACTTACTGTTTTGTTACCATATCTAAAAATACTAATTTACTTCTGTATGTTAAAAGTATTAATTAGAAAATAGGAATTTCTGCTTTGGGCTGTGAATTAATAATAAATTTCTTTAAATAAATATCTAATTCATGCAGCTATTATTTTTTTTTTTTAATCATTCACTTATGTTTATCAATGTAAAATATATAAAAGACCAAAAAGCAGAAGTGTGGCTTTTCTCAGAGGTATTGCGTAGTTTCTATTTTTCAATGCTTGCTTCTAAATGATGTCAGCAAATTGAAATGTTACAATTTTTTCACTGTCCCTTCAAGTGGAAGTATGAGTTCACAATCTTGAATGTAGTCTGTAGTCTTTCATTTTGATTAATGGCTGTAAGATCTTATACTCTTGAGACATAAAAAAAAAAAATTGAACAAGGTGTTTTTTATCAACTATATTAGATCTTAAAAATGGAACTCATTAAAATTTTGGCCTCTTCTGAACAAACTAATGCGATTATATCTTGCACACAGATAATTTGAGCTGTTTCTCTCCTGCTTAAAATAAAAGGTGACTTTAAGTCACAGCTCCCATTATAGTGAATTGTTTATAGGGTAGGCAGGCTCAGGAACAATGGGGTTAAGCTGAGAGATTATTTGAAAAATCTAGGGCATGTGCTTTCCCTCTTCAGTTGATTAGTTTTCATAATTCATCCTTGTTTCCACAGCAAAGAGCATTGTAACAGATGCAAAGAAGCAGTTTTATTTCTTCTGTGCTCCTTTATCTCTGTTATTTTACTGGAGAAAGTTAGTGAAATGGGGAAGAAGTCATATTGTGTGTGAATGTTTAGAATGAATCTTGGTTTGTGTTGTGAAAATCCATGGGATCTGAGAGGCGGATGCTATTTTGGGATGTCTGTAACTCTGCTTCATTTCTTTTCTGTTTGACTACAGGTGCATGAAGAACACAGGAGATATTTCCGCTTATCAGAGATGATGTGGAGAGACACTTTGTGAGTAACGGACGTGTGTTTTCTAAAAAGCCTAAAATGCTAATGTGGGAATTAATAACTGTGCCATTTGCCCAACATTTTCCTTTGGTTCTGGAAAGCTGTGAATATAGAGCTCTTCATGGAAACCACAGACAAAGCTGATGATTGAAATAAAGAGCTGGAAGACAGAGGAATAGAATAGGTATGGTTTCATAAATGATTAACCACGATGCCTAACTCTGCTACAGTGATCAGTCTACCAAAGACTTGCACTGTTGACTGCTGAATGTGTTCTAGAGATCAGTAAAAAGCCTTGACATTGGGTATATGTGTAACCTCTAGCAGAGTTAACTCGGTACTTACAGAAGTTCTTCTGTTGAGTTTATAGGAGCTACCTGCTGTACATGAAAGATCATTTAATGCTTTATTGTCCTGGTCTAATTTTGATTGGAAGTCTCATGTATTTGCCGTAAAACAAGTGGGAATAGTAGAAGTCAACAGCAGCTTTCCTGAAAGTTTTCAGTTCTTGTCTTTCTGGAGCACAGCAATATACTGGGAGCATGCAGCTAAACTATACTCTCAAAATATTACAGGAAAGGAAGAACCTCTATGACACAATATAACTGTACATAAATAAGTACCTACAGGATTTACTTTTGTGGAAATGAGGTAACTTTTTACGATCACAATTACGTGATGCAATGGCTTGTTTCTCAGATGGACACCATAAATAGGCTATGTTTCTAGTGCTGTAGACTAATCAGCCAGCTCTTTCCTTTGGGACAATTAGTCCCAGTATTTTTTTTTTTTTTTTTTGCCAAATTTCCAGTAACAGTTGAGAATTAAAGCAAAATGTTATTTTAGGATTTTCTGTGATAGTCTTTGTGCCTTTTTTTTTTTCCAGTTGTTTTAAGTATAATACAAGTAATGTGGTCTTGAGAGCTTTATTTTAAACCGTAAGCTTTGATACTCTGGAGCTACTGCTTTATTCTAATGATAATTATGTAGGAGAATGGTGCCACAACATTGTGGACTTCTTAAGTGCTTTCCTTGGCACTGAAGAGCTCAAGTTAGAACTGCTGTTACCTCAGGCACCTCGACTTCTGAATACTTTTGCATTTGTAGTATTAATGCTACACCATGAAAATCTTGTTCTTAAATTGAAAAATATCCTTTTATTATGATAGACTAGTAATTGCTTAAACTCCTAGGTAGGAACCAGTTTGGGTTCTTATATGGGATTTGCCTTTTTTGTTACCTAGATCTAAGGAAAAGGTTTTTTAAATGGTTTATAGGCTTTCCTAATCCTGGAGCCTTTTGCATATTTTCATAGATATATTTTTGTGATTTGTAGTTTAGTACTACTTTTAAAAAATTGTCATTAGTGTTTAATTTCCTCATTCTGGCATGAGGTTCAGCTTCTGCTAATAGTGGCTGGTAGTCTTTCTTGCTTTCAGTCAAGAGAAAATCTGCTTCAAGATAATATTGGCTTGTAGTCATCTTTCCCTGGCTTCTTCCAGGCTCTGCTTGCCAGTTCAGGAAGTTGCGGGAGGATTTCTTTATAACAGTGTCTGGGCCAGGTGCTGGATTCTTCATGAAGCAGCAGGAGAGATTCTTTTGCTGATCCAGCTGACTTGCCCCGGAGATAACGTTGGTTTGATTTACTCTGTGACCTTGAGATCACTGTCTTGTGGCCAGACTCCATGAAGAGATTGCCACAGTTCGCTGAGTAGCAGTGATAATATGGAATATTATTTAATAATAATATAACTTTTAAGAGTAGTAATTATTATTTTAAATAAAAATATTACGTTCTGTGATACCTTTTGTGAATAACCAGAGTAATGGATTATTTGATTCCTTGGTCATGGCACATGTTGGTCTCCTTGTTTTCAGATTCTGGTCAGGGCTCAAGCAGAGTCCCTGGATTAGATTTTGTGGGCAGCATTCTTCTGCAGCTCCTCCAACTGCTCTGGTCTGCCCCTGGGGCAGTCACCTTTTGGCAGTCCCGCCTCTGACCCAGTACATCATGTAAGACTTGCTCAGGGGTTTGCTGCTTCCTTCATGATAACACTGTTCTTAAAAGTGTCTCTATTTAAATTCCGCAAACTTGACAAGAGAGATTGCTGTTAGTAATGAGGTGAGAGGATATGACCAAAGGCTTGGTTTGGTTCATATTCTTTTGTTTTGTTTTGTTTCAACTTTCTAAGCTGCTTCCTTAAGATGAAAATTCCTTTTTCAGAAACTAAAAATATTTATCCTTGGGGAAAAAAAAAAAAAAAAAAAGTTCTTTAAACTCTTGTTGTAGCTTTCTAGAAGGTATAAGGGTGAATGAGGGAAGTAGAAGTTGTGTGGCCATCTGATCTGTACAGGCTTCCGTAAGTCTGATGTGCTGTAGACAGGTACAGTGTATTAGACAAGTACAGTTGTATTTACGTGCCAGCTGATTGTCACTCTGCAGATCTTGGAAAAGTTTGCAGTTGAGAAATAACTATTTTTTTTAATAAAATATCTTCTTTATTATCAGTTTAAGAAAACAGGAACTTGATTGATCTCTTATTTCTTGTTAAAAAAAAAAAAAAAAAGCTGAGGTGTAAATGTTCCAAGTATCAGTCTGCATACTTTAAAATATTTTTGTAGTGATGACGCAGTTACCGATAATACATGCATTTTTCTTTGAGTGTGTTTATAGATGTTGAGTATATTTTAGTGTGGTAATTTTCAGAAAAGGCGCTATGAGACAACAGTTATTTTGTGAGCCTAGCATTTATTTCACACAGACGGTTGCTGTTAAGGACCTTTTAGTTGCATACCAGTCAGCTTTTCGTGGTCTTCAGTGTATGGCTGGGTCAGGTTGTATTCTGGTACTTAGGAGAGCGGATAAGGCTTATAGCAAGTGACACCCACCGTGAGCTGTGTTTCTGGATTTGCCTACATTAAGACTCCTCTGTGTCAGCATTAGCAGATGCAATAACAGGTAATATCTATCTGCTGGTTTCATTAGTTCTTTTGGGATTATTGCGAGGGTGACTGTGTCAGGTGTAACGGGATAGTTTGTGAATTGAATGGAGTTTAGTCCTTGTTGCAGCATGGAGCTGCAGGAACTGGTTTCTTTTCCCAGTTCTACCTGATCATAACCTGGGCTTTAACTTCTGTGCTGTAATATCTCTTTCTGTGAGTGGTATTTATACAGTTTACATAAAGTTTGTGGGATGTGTAATGGAAATTGTTATTTACCTGTTACTTTTGTTGTTATTGTGGTTATTACTGTGCACTTAATGTGCAGAATTACTGATTAAAAGTGGAAAAATGTTTCACTTCTTGAATGCTCAAGCAGCAAGCTTTAACGGGCTTAAAATATATACTGCAACTTAGTCCAATAAGTTAAAAAGTGGCTTTGATTTTAAAGTGAGAACGTACAATAAAAGCATTTTCTTTTAGTAGTATTGACATTCATAAAATTCAAAAATATTAATTCCTAAGTATAGTGAGCAATATTTAACTTAGAATTATAGAAATAAAGTACTTCAACAAAAACACAGAGATGCACAGCCATTACCTATACTGATTTTTTTCCTGACAGGCTGAATGAGGGTGCCTTGTTCTACTTGACATCTGCCTGTGTCTGACTAAGTCTTAATTTGCACAATACTAATAGGTACTTGAGCAGTGCCCCCGGTAATCAGTAGATTAGGGGTGTATGTGACAAGCTGGACACTGAAGGGACATGCTGTATCTAAGCTATTCAGTTTCCTCATGAATGGACTAATATGTTCCGTTGGCCTTCCCTGATCTTAGTAACCACATAAAGCTTTATGCTCTTAAAATAACTGACAGTAGGCAGCTGCTTTCTTACCAGGGTTTTTTTCACTGCTAGTGAGGCGAAAGTGGGATCCAAATGTCCTGTTGTCTTCCTGGAGATAATACACGTTTTCCTTGTATTTGGTGGATTGTTGCTGTGTGCCTTGTTTTTTTTTTGTTTTTTTTTTTTTTTTTTTTTTTTAATGCAGTGCTTACCTAATCAAACCTCTGTCAGTGGAATCTCTTTCACCAGTGTGGATTTATTAAGTATGGGTGGTGATAAATGAGCTTTATGCTGAAATTGTAGCCATAGGTGTCTTACATTGGAGAGAGATTTTATGAGGGATGGACAGTGCAAGTGAAATGCAAGTCCTTTACAGAACACCAAATATACCATAAATCTGTAAGGACTCAAACATTTTAAGAACACTTCTACATCAAATTGATTAGATGTTGTTGGTCCAACTAATAAGCTTCCTAATATTTTGATTCATTTTGTGGTTCATTGTGCAAATCCAGGCATGAAACAGTTGATCAGCTGACTTAAAATGCAAAAGAATATTTCATTTGAAACAGTGTTTTGATACACACACCTTGGCATTGCAAAAATTGTGCTTTCTGCTACTTTACTTGCTGTGAACCTGTTGTCACATGCAGCTGCTTGTGGAAATGGGTGAGTTTGAGGTTCCTGCCCCATTTGTGGGGAAGATGTGATGCTGTGTAACATGGTAGTTTTCGGAAAACTTCAGATAAAAGCTAACTTTGCCGACAGCAAAATAAGGGCATTGCAGAATGGGAGGGAGGGGGGGCAAGGGAGAACCCTTCAGCCACCTGTAATGCATGTTAGGTGCATGGGACTCACCAGCCTGGTGCTTCACAGCTTACTGTCCAAAACCTGAAATACGGCCTGAAATCATGGATGTGGCAAGAGGTGCCCCTTCCATTAGAGTTTGGAGAGATGTGTCTGTGGGGTCTGCTGGATGTGAAGAATTGGTGGGAAGAGCTGTCTGTCTCTACTCTCAATGAGGCTGTTGGCTGCAAAGCTGTAGCAGGCAGTCTGAGGTGTTAGTTGAGACACAAGGAAGAGGTCGGAGGCAGTGTCGTCTTCAGAGTTATTGGTGTGGAAAGAGAAGCTCATTTGAAACAGAGAAACTTTAGGAATAGCGTACGAAGAGAGGAGGGGCCTCTGCTTTGTGGCAGACACAAACTAGTGCATTAGAGTTTCAGTAAAAGCGTTCTCCAGCTGTGTATTGTCCTACATGTCACTTAACGAGTGTATTAGCAGACAGGTCTGGTTATAAACTTCAGCTACATAAAGATTTATATGAGATGCCACTCTGTGTTTACTTTGAAATTTAACAGTGACTCTGGTATTGTCAGACTTGTTACTCTTAGAGTTCAAGTTAGGAAGCTCATAACTGCCAAAACATGGATTGACTTGAGAGCCCAGATCTGTTATGGCACAGATGCTGGTGTACGTAGACAGTGAAATAATCCTGTTTTAGCTAGGGAGCACAGAAGCATGATTGTGTTCCTGCAAATGTTATGCAGAGGTTGAAATTGCTGAATGATTTTGAGATTACACATTTCATGGCATTGAGACTGTGTAAAGGTTTTTCTTTCCCCATGTAACAGCTCTAGGGGTTTATTTTGCTGTCTGTACAATGTGTCGTTAAAGGTTGCTGTAGCTATGTAGTGAAACAGTTTGTATATTCTGATTTGGTGCAGGCATCCTGGACGATTTTGGGACATGTTATAGGATGATGAGGGCAAAGCAGCAGATCTTATGGAGCTTTACACTCTGCACATCGGTGACGTTTTCATTGCCAGCTTGCATCCTGCATGTTAGAGTGTATTTTTCACAAGCCAGATGTTTACATTGCTTTAATAGTGCTCCGTGTGCTGTACAAGCTAGTTTTGCAGAAGAATGGTTTACATAAAACAAGAATTACTTGCACTGACTTTAAATACGGATTTGTATTATGGAGTGCAGTGTAGTGGATCCTGTTCTATTAAACAGTCTCACTTCCTTTTTAGTGTATGTGGCTTACCTGAAATTACACTGCTTGTAAATGGCTTTTCAGGAAATCTGAACTGATCCAGCATATGCCTACTGCAGAATTTTAATGAACTCCTGTGTGCAATATGAAGTGTGTTGGTTTTTTAGTGTCAAAGCTTCCTTAGACTTTGGACAGTTTGACACAACTTTTGTTTTTAATGATGATCTCTAGCTTTTGCTTCAAGGACCCAAAGTGAATAGCTTTGGAAATAGTATGTTGATTTTTTATTTTTTTTATTTTTTTTTTTTCCACGAATATGTAGTAAGCAACAGTGTAGTAGTCTTTTCAATTGAAGAGAAAAATCCACAGGGAATATTTTTTAAATGTTTGCCCGCTGTCCTCTTTAATGCTTGCTTCTAAGCAACCCTGACTCAACAGATGTTGCATCTGGGTGTTTGCAGCTGGATCAGATTAGTCTCTGATGGAAAGGCCTGAGTCTCTGCTGTTACCATGCTAGCAGAGTGCTCAGCAATCAGCTCGAACCTCTTGTTGGGTTCAGTTTTGGTGACTTTTAATCAGAGGTAATAAACTTTTTGTACTGGGTTTGGAAGAGTCTAGTGCTACCTTAACAATTGCTAATTACTTGCACTTGTAATGCTTACCTGTGTTATCATAGAATGGTTTTGGTTGGAAGGGACCTTTAAAGACCCACCCCCCTGCCCCGGGCAGGGCCCCCTTCCCCCAGCCCAGGGGGCTCCCAGCCCCGTCCAACCTGGCCTTGAACCCTTCCAGGGAGGGGGCAGCCACAGCTGCTCTGGGCACCCTGGGCCAGCGCCTCACCCCCCGCACAGGGAGGGATTTCTGCCTTAGATCTCATCTAAATCTCCCCTCTGTCAGTTTAAAACCATCACCCCTCGTCCCATCCCCACCCCCTGACCCAGAGTCCCCCCCACCTCTCCTGCCCCCCCTTTAAGCCCTGGGAGGCCGCTCGAAGGGCTCCCCGGAGCCTTCTCTTCTCCAGGCTGAACCCCCCCAACTCTCTCAGCCCGGCCCCCCAGGGGAGCTGCTCCAGCCCCCCCAGCATCTCCGTGGCCTCCTCTGGCCCCGCTCGAGCAGCTCCGGGTCCTTCTGCTGTTGGGGGCCCCCGAGCTGGCCCCAGCACTGCAGGCCCTTGCCCTTGGCCTTGTTGAACCCCATGAGGTTTGCCCGGGCCCCCCTCTCCAGCCTGCCCAGGTCCCTCTGGGTGCCATCCCTGCCCTCCCGCCTGTCCCCCACCACACAGCTCGGGGGCGTGGGTGAACTTGCTGGGGGTGCATCAATCCCACTGTCCATGGCACCAACAAAGATGTTAATTATTGTTGGGCCCAATACTGATCCCTGAGGAATGCCATTTGTCATTGTGATCCCATCAACTGTACTATGTCAACCTCAAGCTCTTGCTTCTTGCTGAAAAGGCTCACAGATAGTCTACCTTACTGGAGGCAGTCATGTGTTTTAAATTAAAAAAAAAAAAAAAAAAAAAATTGAAGAAATTTATAAATTTTCCTATGAATCAGATTTCTCATTTTTTACTTCATCCATGTGAAAAACTGCCTCTGTGATAAGTTTAGATCTTTTATTCTTTTGAATTTAAAGATGCTGTGCTTTTAGTTTTTTGTATATGTGAAAATACTGTGAAAAGTACAGCTTAGTATCTAGCTTGCAGAAACTCTCCTTAGATAATACTTTGGTTGAATACTTACCTGACAAGCAATGCTGGTGTACAAAGGTAAACCAAAATATCTTTGATCCAAGGTGGTTACAACTTGCAGTGCAAAAGGAGAGCAGGTGCAGATGAGGATCTATGGAAAATCAAACCGAGTGACTAAGAGGGAACACTTGCAATATATCAGCACTGCTGATGATCAAGTGCCATGTGTCATTGCTGACTTGGTGGTTTTTTTGAAGGAGAAATTATTGTTGCTTTTTTTTTTTTAAGGCATATTTGTGTGTAAGGGATCACATGAAAGAGAACAGAGGTGCTTGTTTGACAGTTTGCCAAAGGTTGATTTAATTAAGGGGAACAAATGTTGCAAAAGCAGCAAAGCTGAGCTCTGAAAGGCATTAGAAAGCAGCTTCTCACGCTTGATTTGGTGAGAGAAGCAGGAGTGTTGGATGGGTGCACTATAGTAACTTAACGTGGCTGAAGGGATAAGGCAGGATGACATTTCAGAAGTTTTAAAGGTTAAAGAATTGTGGAGCCTGTCTGAAACCAGAATAATCTAATTTTGTGAAAGATGGATTTTACCTGAGTAGATAATGAGGGAGAAGAGGTTGCATCTTGAAGATGTTGGAGAAGTAGTTCTGGAAAAAATTGTATATTTGACAGTAACTCTTTATACAGGCAGCACACACTTGTGAAAGATGGCTTTTTTTGCAGTTTATCCAAATAGATTTGATGACATAAATTGTTAACAGTAATTTCTCTGTGTAACTGCATTTGTTTAAGGCTCTTGCTAGCCTGAATGTGTAAGTTATTTAGAGAAACAACACCCTTTGTGTTTCCTATAGCTTCAATCTCTTGCCAAGGGAGAGATCCTGCAAACAAAACACTCTCTTTATTCCCCCCAGCAAACAAATTACCAGTCAGGCAAAATTGCACATCCTTAATGATGTAATACTGCAGTCAAGATAAAAAGCATAAATGTAGATCTGTCCAAAGAGTCAAAATAGTATGTGGGTAGAAGAGAAGAATTTGATATAAATATTGTCACATTCACCCAAGGGTTTATAATATTAAAATGAAGACCTCGTTCAACTTTTGAATTTCATTTTCATGCTTGATGCTTTGTTCTCAAAAAGAACTACTAGTAAAGTTATTTTAATATTTTTTTAATAGAAAATGTTTTCATTGTCTGGAATGCTTTGTAGTAGCAAAAGTGACTTAATGTTGATTGGAAAGTATTTCACTTTGTAACACACTTTCAAGAACGATTTTTAATGAAGAAAAAAGGAAAACATAAGTGCATCCTTGTAAAGGGAGTACCTCCATCTTCCCTGCAACTACATTTTAGGTATTTGAAACCTGTGGTGGAATCCTTCTCAACGTTTTCTTCTTGAAGTTGAACAGAGATGAGTAATTAAATAAGAGATCAATTCCATTTTCTCATTTAATTCACGTTTGTGCTTCAAATTAGGCCCAAGTCTGCTATAATTTCTGTTCAGATTGTTAACAGTTGAGGAGCAGCAAAGCTTTGGTGCACTGAAGCTTTGGTCCTTGCATTGCAATGGAATACTATGATTATATTTCCTCCTAGATGTTCTCCTTGTGTTTAAAAGAACACATGAATGCAAGACAAGTTAATTAGAAATTAGCATCTTAGATTAGATCCTGATTTTGCAAGCCAAAAGAGGACTAATTGAAGCTTATGGTAGTCAAGGGAGTAGCAGAAATACAGGCAAGGCAGCTGAGCAGTGGAGTGTAAATTCATGCAGAAAGATTTTGCGTGCACTAGGTTTGGGGAGGATCAGGATAAAGGCTTTTCATTGAGATTTGCACTTTTTATACTGTCACACTTTTTTTTTTCCTCTTTTTTAACATCAGGTTTTCCAGTTGATGGAATTTATTCTCGAGTTAGTTTTCTCTCTTTTGCTGTTGATAGCCTTGACATATTTCTGTAAAAACCTCAAAAGGTAATATGGAGATGGCCAGCTCGCAGATACTGTTGTGCCTGAACAGATTTTAGGATGTGGCTCATCTGCTTTGTGGCTTTCTGTGACGCATTTTTATTTCTTCAAACAAAAAACTTAATTTTCTTATCAAAACCAAAAGTTAGACTTCACAGATCTTTGGCAGCGATTCGCTGCAACTTCATGTGTTCTACCATGTTAAGTGTACTTCGGTGTGGCTACTCTCACCTAAAGTCATGTATTACATTTTATATTCTTTGGTCAACAGGGGAGTTACTAACCTGGGCGGCATGGATCGTTCTGTGCTCAGAGGGGAAGTGTCAGCAGTGCTTCATGACAGGTATGTTGGAAGTGCCTGAATTCCTGCAGAGGTGTCAGTGGGGTTTTTTTTTCAGGATGGCAGCCTGGAAGCCTTTTTCCTCCATCTGGAAGACAGGAATTCTGGAAGAGCTCATTAGCAAATGACTTTAAGAAATGCAAGGACCTAGTCAGTGAGCTGTAAGCTAATTTGTTCCTCAAATAACGGACTATGTGATTTTTCAAACAAAGCAGAAAACCCCCTGGCTTTAGTCTTAATGATTCTCTAATCCAAGATTTCTGTGGATTTTTCTGATTTAGTTGATCCAGCTGCCCTTGCATCTGCTTTTAGGTATCCAAAGACCAATTTTGGAACAAGGAGGCCAGAAGACTTACTTATAAAATCTCACAGTGTGCTAAAAACATTCCTGATATGGCTGGGGAGGGATTTCTGTCTTAAAATATACTGAAATCAGCCATTCTGTCTGTCTTGATTACACTGTACCTGCTATTTCATCTTTTTGTGCTTATTCTTTTTTTTTAGAAAGCAAAACAACAAATTTAGGGCAAGAGTAGAGACAATTGCCTTGTCCTGGAAGAAATTCCAGATTATATTAACCTTATTACTTGAAATAAAGTTTTTGATAAAGGAACAATTGTGTTTTAACTAACTGAACCTGATTTCAGGAAGCCATAAAATTGTTGGCAGTTTTATATTGTGCTATACTTTGCACACCTGTAATGGTAGTTTTGTCTGACCCGATTAATAAGTGACTGGTTTCATTTTTTTCAAAGAAACTAGAAAAATCAGTATGTTTCTAGTGCAGTATCTTTCTGTTGAAAATCTCTGAAGGCATACTCTGCCTTTGCTGGTTGTCATGCTTTTTGTAGTTGAATTAAGAACTTCATACTTACTTTCTTTTTCATGTAAGCTTAGATGCCTTGACTCTATAATGAAATAGCTGCTGTTATAAAAGTTTCTGGCACTCCTTTGTAAAGGAGCTTCATCAAGCCAAGAGGGTTAGGTTTAATTCAGTTTTTTTCTGAGTATGAGACAGGGATCTATTGATGAATAAGAGTGTTTCAGGAGGAAAACTAGGTTGGTAGGATTTGTTTTCCCATGTAGGTGGTTGAAAATATTGCTGCATCAAATGGAGTTGTTCATGACTAGCAATTTTTTGCTAATGCCATTTAAGACTTCCACATTCTTCATTTTGATTGTTAATGACATTTAAACCTTTCATTTAACTGGTTTAATATATTTAAAAAACTGATTTGAGCATTGTTCTTAAGAATAAATGTTCAGTTATTTCTGTTCCAAAGGTTGTATTGACATTAAGCAACCTTATTTTTCAGCAATTTTAGACTAAAGAAATCTAATAAAACTGTTTCTGTAGTTTCATTGACTGATCTTGTGTACTTTGATCTCAGTCTAAACAGATAATTCATGGGACAACAGTTTAAATTATGGAAGTTATGTTTTGGCAGTAGCTAAATCATTCTTGAAGAATGATCCAATTCATCAGTATGCTGCGCTCTGCTTCCGGGGGGATTTTTCACTGGTTGTTTGATCTCAAATTAGAGGAAAGAGCTTCTCTGCTTTTTTCAAAACAGGCACACAAGTCCCTTTTGTCTGCTGGATGCGTTTATGGTGACTTGAGCATATTCAGTCTCAAGTTTCACTTTTCAGACTTCCATATGAGTGAAATTCTTGTATACTGCTGTCTCTCAGTGAATGCATACAGCCTTTTAGCAGTGCTTTGGTCAGTCATTTCTGCTTAGCATAAAGAGTGGCAGTTTAATGAATAATGCTGTAAAACTTGAAGAAAAAAAACTTGAAGAAGAAATTGTAAAAGCCTTCCTTAGAGCAGAGTTATTATGTATGCGTTCTCTCCATCTTCAAAAGCTTCCAGTCTTTAGTAATCCCAAACAGTAACTCTTTACTCCATTCTATTTCTCTCTAGTTATTCTGTTGTACGTCATTTTATTTAGCAGTCATACATCTCTGTCTGTAGCAGTGACATTACAAGTATTTTCTCTCCTCATTAGGTTCATGAATTTATGTCTTCGTTCTTACACATGTGCACTTCAATATTTCAGTAGTAGTATGTTTTCATTTGAAATGTGAATGTTGGCATTTTCACGTGAAGCCTTTTGAATATATTCATGTGAGAGCTAAAGTTGGAAGATGAGGAACTGGATTTGAGGAGATTAGAAGTTTCTTATTTATTAGACTCTTGTGTTGGTCACATCTGGTCTCAGTATGGTGTGTATGACAGTGTTTGTGCTTGTTTAGGAGGAAATGATTTTTTTTAACCTCAATAGAAGAGTTAACCTCTTCAGTAAAAAGTTTGTATCTCCAATAAATACTTTTAGCGTTCCAAATTACTTTTTTCTTAACCAACTATTCCAAATGACTCAAAGTTTAATAAATCAAAATCTCACAGCTTTCGTGTTACTTACATTTAAATAAAATCTCTGAAGTTTTTTTCAATTTTGACTAGGTAAGGGTAATGTTTTCTTTGTGATGATGCAGTATTTGATAAAAAACCAACCAAAGTTGATCTTGAATGACTAGAAATTTATGTGCAGGCTTGATGAGTAAAGTGGTAGCGTTTAACTCTGTTAACATATATATATATATATATTTTTTTTTTTGCATGAAGAAAGGAATGGTAGTTCAAAGTAGTAATACCCTCTTGCATATTTAAAAGCTGGTTTCTGGTTTCGGTTTAGGCACGTTTCTGGGTTAGTTGCAATTAAACTTCTTCTATACGTGGCTTCTGGATGCTAACATCTGTCCAAATGTAGTAGTTGTGTATTGTTTGTAATACAGTGCTCTTGACACATGAAATGTTTGCAACTTGATCTGTGCAACAAATAGGTTTGGATCTACAAGAGTTTTTATTGTCTCTCTGAAGGAAGCAAGGCCCCTGCTTTTAATGGGATGGGTAAGTTTGCAAGCTAGCTGTGTGGAATATCTCGATAGTTAGTATTGTGTTCAATACTGCATGAGCAGTTTTTGCTGAAAAAATACATGTCTGGAAAGTTCTCCAGCTGGTGACATGTTGTTAGTGTAATGTAATCTCATGCTGATGGTAATTTTCCCTTTTATTTTCATATCTCTGTCTTCTGTCACTTGGGTGGATGTATATTGGTTATGACTGTTCTCTTCATGGCAAGTGGTGGGTGTAGTGTTATGAGTAATTGTTTCCCTGCTCAGTTTGGTGTTTGAGTGCATCAAGTTAAAAAAGATAGACTTTATTCAAAGTGACTTTATGCTCATGATAAAGTGCTGTAGAGTCCTAAATCTAAAATAAACTACTCAAGTAGCATGTATAGTGTTCTCCCTTTGAGAGAGAATGGGATTTTTTTTTTTCCTGCACGTAATTAATTTGTGCATTGTGACACTATAGTTAAACTGGGCATATCACTTTTGGTTACAGACTGGCATAATTCTTAAATGGATAATGTATAGCATGTTCAAACACTTAAATAACTCCTGCTGCTTCAAAAATGAATCGTTTTAATAGGCAGTTTAATCTGCTTTAGCCAGCAGTTGATCATCTGAATAAACACTTTTGAAATTAAAGTAGTCATCTTGAGAAGCAACCATGCTATCTTTAAATTCCATACTCTAGAACATACTTTTTGGTGCTAACTTTCAGCTGTAATCCATGTCCTGCAGTATAGTCAAATATGGAGGAGTTACACTGTTCTTTATTCATAAAGGGAAGGGGAAGAAAGAAAAACTTTTCTGTTGGTGCATCTGATTGATTTCATTTCATTTAGTTGATAGGAAAAGTCATCACCTAATTTTGAAAAGGGAAGTATACCTTTCTTTCTGGGCGATAAATGTTTCTTGGTACTTCCTACATTTAAAAACAAATGGACACCATCCCCCACCCCCAAACAACTGAAGGATGTGCATAACACTTGTGCCTTACATGAAGAGGAAAAAAACCTACCCGAACAACAAAAAACCTTGCATTATAAAACCCAAACAATCAAAAAAAACCCCCACTTGCATATTCAATTTTTTTAATTCCAGAGGTGTTCTGCATGCATGTTCATGTGTGGAGTTTGGTAACACATTTCTTCTGATGATTCCATGGTCTTTGGACATCTGAGATGTGTCTGTGGTTCAGGTTTTAGTTCACTTGGATGCAAAATAAGGTATTTCTTAGAAAATAATTGCACAGTGGTAGAGGCTATGCTGGAAAAACAGGATACCCAATCTTGCTTGGGTGTTCACTGTATAGGGAGACCGGTAGGTTTTGCATCTTAAACTGATTTGTTTTAATGAGCTGCGCTTCAAGCTTGCTAACGTAGTTAAGGATATCTTGTAAAAATGAGAAGTGCCAGGTTATTTGCATTACTGTCCTGCCCTGGACAGTGAAAGTTGAAGCAGCTATTAAGTTCTCACATGATCTTCAGAGGTGTTATTGAAGCATCTTGCAGGACCAGCAAAGACTGTTGAGGGAAACAACTCAGCTTCTCAGACAGTATGTTTTTCTACTGCCTGGTGACTACCAATCCCATAAATAGAGGCACACTGAAATCTGAAATCCACATACAGTATGATTCCTGCAGGTTATAGTAAATTTAACCAATGAAAATAACGGTGCACTGTTAAAATGCAGTATGTCTGTCCCAGAAAACTTGCTGTAACAACTACTATTCTGCTTTATTACAATATTGTGTGTATATTTATGCCGGACCTTCCCATGACATGTCCGAAACCTGAGCATCTTGCTAATCCTCTTCCATCTTCCCAAGCTGTGTTATCACATCCAGCTCCATCATGTAGGAGTCCAAACGTTTTCAGCATGCAACTGCCCTGTTCCAAATTCCAGACTTCTAGTTCATTCTTCTGCTCCAGCTCACCGGTTACAAGCTAGTAGAATCAAAGTTGACAACTAAGTAAGTGGAGGTGTATCAGCCAAGGATCTGGAAGGAAACTTAATTTGAAGTGAGTATGTTTAAATCTTCAGGTGCTCTCAATTTACTTCTGTTGTCCTAAAGAGCATAGAGGTCATGTAT